ATTTCCATTCATGAAACACAGATGACAGGACCGTGGAGAGGTACATCAATTACAAGGTTGAACTTCAATAACTCTTCTAATAATTCCTTACCATGGTTAGAAAAAGTCCAAATTCAGGATTCATAGTCACATTATCTCCATCAGTAAAAATAAAAGATTTTTTACGCTCTTTTTTACACGTGAGAATAATGGAAATTTGCTGGGCAGCAACCGAGAGAACAGGGAGATCGATACGGTTAAATTCATCAAAACAACCCCAGGATCCAGACTGTGCCAGCCCTTAGAAAGGAAATTAAACAGAAAATCCAATTAGTATACAACAATCTCTAAAAACCAAGGAAGAGGATATTATGCAGCTGCCAAAATGAACCAGAGACTGGTTTATTCAAAGACGAAGTCCAACAAATGAACAGCGCATCAAGCGGCCCGAAGCAACTAAAAGTTTGACAACTGGTCTGCAAACATCCATCCAACCTGTTATAAGAGCTCATTACACAGGGCAAACGGCACTAGTATTTAATCCACCTAAAACTGGCAAGGCTTAAGACTGTCTGTAAGTGGCTGGAGAAGTGGCTCAATGGTTAAGAGCACAGGCTGCTCTTGCAGAGGACCCAGGTTTGATTCCCAGAACATATATGGTGGCTAGCAACCATCCTAACTCCAGTTCCAGGAGAATCTGATGCCATCTTCTGGCCTCCAAGGGCATTGCATGGCACAGGCGCACTTACATACATGCAGGCAATTCACTCATACACATAAAATAAAAATAATAAATATATTTTTAAATACTGTCTGATAAAACTTATGAAGTTGAAAAGTGACACTAAAGTATAGCCAATTACTGAAAAACAAATTTGTTATTGTTGCTGTGCTGGGAATTGAACCCAGAGTCTCACACAAGTCAAGTATATGCTCTATCACTGAGCCGGATCACCAATCCTGAAAAATAAATCTTAATAGGATATCCCATCTTAACTGAAGTTTCTCATCAAAGGAAAGACGTATCTACCTTTGAATATCCGCCCAAGTCCTCGGAAATCCATCTGGTCTGAGCAGTTGAAGACTACAACATATTTCCCAAGACACCGTCCCATATCTTTGGTGGTTTCTGTCTTGCCTGTTCCTGCAGGACCAGCGGGGGCCCCTCCCATGCTCATCCCCAGAGCTTGAGCCAATGTGATGTAGCACCTGCAGGGTGAACTTGCCGTTAGAACCATCCCAGAGCATCCCAAAGGCACACAGGACATCACTGAGAGATGAACCCATATGACTAAAAGATAAAAACAGGGACATTCTCTATACAGATAATTTCCAGAACTGCATCCTAAAACAAACTTGTTCTCTGTATATTAGGATGTGCTAGAAAAAGGAGGAGGTAGTCTCTAGCCAAGTAAGTCTGAGAACTCTTAGATTAAACAATAGCGGGAGAGATGGCACAGCAGTTAAGAGCACTAGCTGCTCTTCCAGAGAACCCAGATTCAGTTCCCAGCACCCACATGGGGTGGTTAACAGCCATCTGTAACTCCATTTCCAAAGGAATCAGACACCCTCTTCTGGCCTCTGTAGGTATTGTAGGACATGAGTACACTTACATACATGCAGGCAAAACACTCATACACATAAAGTAAAAATTTAAAAGATCAAACAAACATATGTATTGCCATTTTCAGGCTTTGTGATAACGAGATTTACAAAAATTATTAAGAATGTATACATTTGAAAAACTAGTACATGAAACTGCCAGTGCTTACAGGGAAACTATCCCTAGAAGTCTACCAACATCAAAAGAACAATACAGTCAGCTTCATTGATCATGAGGTAAATGCAAATTAAAATCCCTGTATAATATCAGGTCTCATTCTAATAGAATGACTATTACTAAAACTATAAGAACAAACATTGATAAGGAGTTACCCCTTTGAACACAGTTGGTGAGAATGTACCACGTTGTTCAAAACACAGTGAAGCTACCCAGGATAAATTAAAATAGCACTACCATATGCCCCAGCAACCTCCTTTCTGGGCACATACCCAAAAGAGATGAAATCACTTCTTTGTGCAGACATCTCCCTGTCATATTCAATACAGAATTATGTACAGTAGCCAAGACATTACCCAACTGTCTTTCTGTGGAAGAATGGACTTTTCAAAATAAGGTACATTTACACAATGGAATCTTTTTCAGCCTTCAAAAAGGAGAACACCCTGCCATTTGCCACACAGGGGTGGACCTGGGGAAATTTTGCTTAGTGAAATAAACCAGACACCAAAAGACAAGTGCTGCATGACTTCACTGACAAACAGAACCTGGGATGGAAGAGGAGCTGAATAGACAGAGAACAGAGCAAGGATTGCAGGAGGCAGAAATGGAGGTGGGAAAAGAGAAAACACAGGGCCAAGGACGCAACAGATCAATCTTGTAAGGTCAGGGAGTCTAGAGCTCTATTGTATAAGTAGAGGGCTTTAGATAAAACTGTACAGTACTAGGGATCATAGTTAAAATAAGTATATTTTAGGGTGACTCCAAAATAAGTAATTTTGTGAGCTGCTACAAATATCAACATGCTTAACTGTGTTAATCACTTTCTACCCCTGTTATTACATTGTGCTGTAAGCCTCAATACGTAACAAAATTTGTTTTTGAAAAAATAAATGGGCTGGGCCTGGTGGCACAGGCCTAGATTCACAGCGCCTAGAAGGTAGACGTGGAAAAGTGTTTTTCAAGATCAGCCTGGACCACATAATGAGATCCTATCTCAAAAAATATATCCAAATTTGGGGATGCAAGTAAGTGGTAAAGTGCTTGTCTAGCATGCCCAGGGATCTAGGTTTGACTCACAGTAGGAGAAAGAAAGGGAGAAATAAATACATTCTATGAAACAGATTAGGAATCATTTAGACAGACTCATTCCCTTGTGAATCCAAGCACTGAGAGTTCTGTGTCCTTGGTTTTAATTTTGTTTGTTTATTTATGTGTATGTGCTTATGTGAGTGTTGTCCACCATGAGTGTGCAAGATCGTGCAGAGGCCAGAAGAGGGCAATGGATCCCCTGAAACTGTAGCTACAGACGATTGTGAACCACCATAGGAGCTCTGGGAACACAACCCGAGTCCTCTGCAAAAGCTCTAAGTGCTCTTATCCACTGAGCCATTTCTCCAGCTCCCTGTGTCCTTGGTTTTAAATCACACACTGCTGAATAAGCACATGTTGACTCTGTGAGCATTCTCTGGGCCTGCAATTCCTTCCACGTCTTACTATATGAGGTTAACACACAAAAGATTTGGTGAGAAAATGAAAGAATGCCTAGAAAGGAAAATCTTTACCCTAAAAAATGCTGATAAATTACTCGATTCCCAGCACAACCTGGTGTTGCCAAAGAAAACAGTTTGTACACCAGAGCAGTTTGGAGTTTCTTTCGGCTGAATATAAAGAGTTCCTTTGAACCTGAGAAAGATCTCAGAGGAAAAGAGACAATTTACCCAGCATAATGGTGGAACTGAACACTGATCATAGTGTTCAATTATTGGGGTCCCATAGGTCTCTATTAGAAATAAGTTCCTGAAAACTAGGTATGAAATCAGGGGGACACTTGCCCTCACTTCTGCCTTGCCTTTTAACTGAAAGTCTTATTCCTCCCACCCCCTGTCCCTTGTGTTTTCTCATCCCTTTCAAAGCAGAGTCTATAATAACAAGAGTCAACACAACGGATGCCTCATACCTCATTAAAACACCAGAACAACTTGCAAGGAATCAACCTGTCTGTCCCCATTTTACAGATGAGGAAGGAGGCTCACAGTGAATGGATTACTTTGCTCGGGATCTCAGAAGAGCTGACATTTAGTCTAGAGCAGAGCACAAGCCAAGCCCTTTCACTGCAAGAGCCAAGACATATCCAATCTCTCAAAGTAACAAAAACATCTGCACCAACTCCAGCCGTTTGCTACTGTCCTGCAAAACTCTTTACATCTGTGGAGACTTGTATGTGAAAATTAGAATTTTAACAAATAAATATACAGTATTTGTAGAAGGAAGCTGAACTACTAATAATTTTGAAAATTAGAAAAACTTCCTTCTCACACTTTTACTTTCTGTTCTGCTGTTCTGCTTCTTTTCTTTGCCATAAAAAAAGCAAACTTGGAAATTAGTGCCTATTCCTTCAGGAAACCTCCATTTGGCAATTGTTATGTGACAGATATTCTCATGAACGCGTCATGCAAAGCTCATGCTTCAAGGAGCTTACATGCTAAAGGAAGAAAACAGATTTTTTAAATAATAATTAAATAAGAAAATAAAACTGGGTAAGATTATTGTGGAGACGAGAAATCCCTGTGCTGTCTAAAGTCACAAGACCCCTTTGAGGTAACAACTGAGTGGAAAACTGAAGTAAGGCAATTGTCTGCTGAACAGAGAGTATATCAAATACAAAGACCCTGAGGCAGGCCTGTGATGGGTCTGTTTTAAGAAAGAGCCAAAGAGCAGGTGAGTAGAACCCAATGAGAAAGGAAAGGCCTAGGTGGCAGGGGCCAGCTCGTGCCTGGCATCCTAAGCTAATGTGATGGCAGCTTTTACTTTGCATGAGATGCAACCAGAGTGCATGGTCAGAGTAGTGATGGGATATGACTGTGGTCATTATCTAAACTGAGAACAGACTCAGGGAGAGCAGCAAAGAGACTATGACAGTAATCTATGTTGGAGGTTACAGTGGGTCACAAAGGGTTACAAAAAGGGGGTAAGAGCACTGCCACATTCCAGCTATTGCTGGTAGACTGGATAATGGGGGAAGGAGGACAGACTTCAAGGGTACAACATGGATTTCTTGCTTGGGAACTAGAAGATAGACTCAGAATTCAGGGTTAGGAGATGGATGCTCCCACTGCAATAAAAATGACAATTACTAAAACGAAGACAGTAAGAGAGTGGGTTTGGAGATGATAATCAGACATGATGTGGTTAAAGAGTCTGGAAGCACACAAGTGAGCTCATCAGGTCAGCAGGCAGATATCTGGAGCTCAGGAAAGAAGCTGTGGCTGGGTGCAAAGTCTGGTGTCAACATCTAGATGGTATTCCAAGTCATGTGAGATAACGATGAGGGACAGCTGAAGAAAAGGACCCTAGTGCGTTCCAGGTTTAAAGATCATGGGCATGTGAGGAGCCTGAGCAGAGGAACCAAGGGGCAACCAGACTAGAAAGAGGACCAGGAGCTGAGAGTGGCATCTGGGAGCCACGTGAAGGGGCTATATCCAAGAGGAGAGAAGATTCAACAGTGTCAACACTGCCAAATAGTCAAGGAAGATAAGCCAGAAATGACGTTGGATTTGGAAACCTGAAGGTGTGAATGACTTTATGAGATGCTTTAGCAGAGTGGTTGGTGACAGGTGACAGAACAACTGTCCCCCAAAGATGCCCACATTCTCCCCACTGGATCCTGAAAGCATATCATCTTACATAACTAAATGGCCTTTGCAGCCATTATCAAGGTAAGGACCTGGGGCTGCGCAGGCTATCTTAGGTTACCCAATAGCTCCAGCAAATATGGGGAAGCAGGAGGCAGAAAGGATGCCAGAGACAGAAGAGGGAAGAAAGTGAGGTGTGTGGATGACATGGCTCTAACACCGCACCATCTGTGGCTGTGAAAGTGAAGGACGGGATCACAAGTCAAGGAACACAGCAGCCAGGATGGCCCTCTGCTCACAGTCAGTAAGAAAGTGGGGATCTGGGTTCTAAAGGCCTAAGGAATTCTATCAACAGCCTGAAAAGGAGGGACTATCACCCCCTAGTGTCCTTAGGCCTGCTGAGTCCAGATTGGAGCCCTATCAAAATTCTGATTTGCAGATGAGTAAACATAACAAATATGTTGTGGTTTAAGCTTCTGATCTTATAATGACTTGTTACAGCGGAAGAATAAAATTAGCAGAGGCTGATGGATAAGTTCAAGACAAGCAAGGTAGAATGAATTTGCATTTTTGAGGGGGTTACTGGAGAACACAGAAACAGCAAAAGAAATGGGGGGGGTCACAGGAGAGTTTTCTGTACAGAAGCAATTGCATCATGTTATATATTGCTGAGAATGACCTCACAGGAAGTGGACACTGATGATACACTGAGAGAGGAAATCCTGGGTCAGTGCAGGTGTGGGTTCTGGATGGCCGTGCACAATCCACCCAAGACATAGGAAAGAACAAGCAGGAGGGCAAGGGTTCTGGCTGGTAGATGTGAACAGGAGTTGGAGACATGAGCATCTTTCTTCTCAGTAAAACATCAAACAAGCCTTTCAGAGGAAAGAGAGGATGAGAAGGAGCTTTGAAAGAAGGGTGACATAACTGCCAAGTATTCCAAGAAAAATTCTTCCAAACTTTTAAACTAGTATTACCTTTAATTGACCAATCATTATTACATGTTGTAATGGGATACAATGTGACATAGTTCCAGATATGTGCCTAATATGCAAGAATTCCATCTGGCCAAATGGTCAAAATAAATATTTGGGGTAGTCCTGGGCACAGAAAACAAAATACAGCGCTGACATCACAAAGTTCACATCAGACTGAGCAAAGTATGCAATTCCAGCCCTGGAAGGGCCCTTGAAGATGGTCCACTAGCTCATCTTACAGATGGGATTTGAGTCCACAGAGGATGCAGCTATAGGCTCCAACTAACAAAACTGGTGTATTTGTTACTTTTCTTGTCCCTGTAACCAAATTCATTTTCTCAAAGTTTCATGGCTGAGGAGGCATGGCAGCTGCTGACCCCCATCTCAGCTGGCCAGGAAACAGAACAATACTGGGGCTCACTTAGTTTCCTCCTTTTTTTCCCTTTTGATTCATTCTGAGATCCCAGTACCTGGGATAGTGCCATCACCCTCCATGAGTTCTCTGTGTAAAAAGCCCTCAAAGTCAAACCCAAGGGTTTTCTTCATGAATAATCTAAGTGCTTCTTAGTCCAATCAAGTGACTGGCAAAGGGCAAAACTGACCACTCCTCTGTTCCTGTCAGGGCCCCCATCCGTCTTCCCTCTTATATTTGTGTTGTTACCCAGTTTTTACCTGCTTTAATAAAAACACCTTAATTGTTTCTCTGGGAGAACAGCAGGTACGGAAGTTAATAACATACACTTCAAGGCCCATTGTGACTCACACCTAGTGACACACATTAATTAACTCCTTTGTTGTCCATCCCATGTTCACAGAGGCATTTATACTCTGCCTCTGTAAGACTGAAGGCAAACAAAGCTAGGTCTGTTTCAACCACAGACCTAAACCCCATGTGAGACCACATGTGCAAAGCTAGAAATACTGACTTTCAAAGGCTGTGGTATAAAAGAGCCCTTCAGCAAAAATCCCTGAGCCACCCTAGAGAATAAAAATTGGGGGCGGGAGGAGAAGAGGGCTGTGGAGTCACAGAATCTTTCTGTCACCTGTCTGTGAGTGGCGTTATGACAAGCCTGTCAGTGCAGCCTAAAAATTCATTCTGGTATGTGAAAGCCACATCTGTGATATGGATATTCATCTTGTCAGAATCTTCGTTAAAATAAAATCTGCACTGTTTCAGCCACTCAAAGTCCGTAGGGCTCTTGATATGCATGTGGCACTGGAATTCAAAAAAATACATGTTAGAGTTGAGAGTCATTTACCAAATAGACACACTGGCATTTATGCAGATCACAGAGCAGAAGAAATAAAATCCAAATGCTACCCAAATTGGTCAGAGACATCAACTCTACCATCATCTAACCCAATCATTAGTCATTGATCAACAAAACAGAAACCTGAGACTCTGTAGGACTGAGAAAAATCAAGACAACTCTAGCTATGACCCTCTCACTTAAGTGATATCATAGATCAATAATGAGATTTATTTCTTAAATTCCATCCTTAAACACCCAATGCCATATATACTAATCATGAGATACAATCATGAAAAACATGTTATGGCATACAAAGACAGTGCTAAACAATTTCATTAGGGGAAAAATGATTGCTGTGGGCTAATAGAGCAATTTTCTTTAAGGGAGAGACTCTACATAGGTTGACTAGACTCCAGTGGATGAACGTGTTCTGGGGTACATCTGAGAACAAATGCTTGACTGGATAGGACTTAACATATATGACAAAATGCATGAAATCCAGTGGGGAAGGGTGGGAAATGGGGGGTGCAGATGGGGCAAGGGGAATAAATTTGATTAAGATTTATTCTATGAAATGCACACTCAATAAAAATAAACATCAAAAATCAAATCAAATTAATAAAAAAGAATAAGACATAATTTTGTGGATTTTTTTAACTAATCTTTTTTTTCCTATGAATTGCAACAGGCCAAAATTCTAACATCTACATAGTAGGTTAGTGCCCAGCAATGCTTTTACCTACATTTTTTAACTAAAATTTTAAGCCACTTTAATCATTTCTCTCCCACAAATAAGAAATCTAAAATTACCCTCTGCCCTTTATTTCTCTGAGAGCAAAAGAGTGTGCTTAACTATTAGGAGAGATTAGCACAAAATAGCTTGAAAATGCTGCCTTTTATTTCCACTACATCAGGACTAATCTTTCATAATCTTTACATAATGGGGTTGAGACACAATCCAGAAAATTATTCTGAAAGGAAGAGCTCCTTGCCTCTTATCTAATGTATTCTATAGAAAAGGACAAATCTCATTTCCTATAAATAACAGACACTTCTTTTCCATCCTGTTATCTTTTAAAAGGCAAGCTCTGTCTGACATCTGAATGTCATAAGTTCCACAAAGAATGGCCACTTGGCAGTCAACAGAAAGTAAGTACAGCAAAACTTGTTAAGGGTGTGGTTTGTCAACACCCCCAAAGAAGCCTTAAACAGCTCTACTACCAATGCTAATTACAATGTCTGAGGATGAAGCCAGTGGTTTTCAGTCAACATCCACAATGTGCACAGCATGGATGGAAGCTTTGCAGGATGCTGGGTGATATATTAGCATTTAAAATCATCACATAAAGAACTGTGAACTAATATCCAAGTGCCTCAAAATAATCAGAGTAAGACTGAAATCTCCACTTCTGGCTGAGAAGAAAGTCTGACGAACAAGTTCTGATCATCAGTATAACCATCCCTGAAATTGACCTTTTTTTATTATTACTTTTATTTTGTGTGTATGAGTGTATTGCCTGCATGTAAGTGCACCCATGCCATGCAATGCCTGCAGAGGTCAGAAGAGAGCATCCAACTCCCCTGGAACTGGAGTTATGGATGGTTGTTAGCTACCATGTGGGTACTGGGAATCGAACCCTGGTCTTCTACAAGAGCATCCAGTGCTCCTAACTGCTGAACCATCTCGCCCGCCCCGAATTTGACCTTGCATGAATTCAATCTAATCAATTCTGGTGGGTGAACATGGACAGTGCCTAGTGTTTTCTTCCTTTGTATATGATACGTTTATGAAGCATTTACCAGGTCATCAAAGATGTCCCTTTGGTGCACATGCATAGTAATCAGGGTCTCATATTTAACTCGTTCCACGGAGCTCAGATCCTTCGTGGTCATGTCAATCAGCATGTTCAGTAACTCCAGGAAATACTGGTTGGTTTTCTGCATGATTTTCTTATCAAACTTGGCATTTCTAAGGGCTTCTTCTGAATCCCGAGTCCATATCATTTGAATTCCTAATAATCCAACCTTGTGGAATTTTTTCAAAAAAAGGATAAGGTTTTACAAGTATGTGTATAGTATATCTACAGTTAAATAGAAATTACAGCATAATGAGTCACTGTAATTATTCTGCAGATGTACAGCACAAAAATTACATTAATATGCTTCCTTGTTTGAAAGCCAATGGAAACTCTCTTCCTATCATACCTAATGGGTGAGTATGGAAAGCCTATGACATATCACAACGTCTTTCTTAGGATCTTAAGCCATGCATACTTATTTCACAGTTCTCTCTAAATAGATCTTCAAGTCACTTGCAGATAAAGAGTATGTCTTAAATTGACTTTACTAAAACTAGCACAGTGTTTGTGCACAGTAGATATTCACAAAATCTTTATTGGTCACAGTGACTAAGAAAACATTGTTTCCTGTATTTTAATACTGAAGAATATTTTTCCATTTTCTTAACAAAGTGTTTTCTCAGTATGCTTTTCTGATTTATGTACATTATTATTTAAGAAGATTTGGTAGAAGAAAAAC